ATATTATAGACAGTTATATCAAGTGATGTAAAGTCATAATTAATAATTGATTTTTGATAATTTCTCACTTAAATTAAAAATCAAAAGTTTACTTAAAAATGACTGAAAAACAAGTCTACAATAAATCTGATTATAAAACTAATTAACTGTTGATTTAATAAACCTATAAAACAATATTTAATAAATCAAAAATAATTGAAAAAACTTTATTAATAATTAAATCAAAAACATAAATGATTGGTTAATACGATAAAAACAACCACGATATCATCACAGATCACTTCTTGCCCTCAACCATAATGATATGATAGCCGTGTTTGGTCTTCACGGGTGGATCCGTTACGATCGGCGAACCAATGGTCGATATTTGCAATGCAAACGCCGCCTATCGATACAAAAAGACAATCAAATTAAGCAAATCCAGCCATAAATATAATCGGCGTAATGACAGCCCGTGTGGCGGCTGTGGTGTTGCGGTACCTCTTGGAAGGGGCCAACCATTGAGCCTCTGGTCATCCAACCCAAGTCGCCGCCGTTGCGGGCCTTGTCTTCGCTGTACTGTTGGGCGACTTCATTGAACTTATTGCCGGCCCTTATCTTCTCCAACGCTTCCAACGCTTTCGACTGCTTCTCGCATAATATGTGGCGAACCTTAAGACAAGACATCAACGCATGTAATCATCAATGAGTGGCCGCCGGTAGCCATGCCTTCACCGCCGATGACGGCTCGTTGTGTCCATACCTTTATAGCTGTTCCGCCCTTCTTCTCCTCTTTGCCACCTTTGGCCCCGTCTTTCGCCTCCCCTTTGGTGTCCTTTTTAGTGTCTTTAGTGGCCTTTTTGGGCGGCATTTGTCCTGAAGTATGGATTTGTGGTCAATATTGGGATCAATTCAATGCCTTTTTGTTGTCTTTATATTCAATAAAAACAAAACATTATTTATGTATTGATTAAAAAGTTTTATCAAAACTTTTTTAATTGACTTAAATATCCTGTAATTAATTAAATTATATTATTATAATTGTTCGGCGAGTATTTCACTTATTTGTAATTAGTTTTAAACAAATAGTTTTAATTAATTAATTATAATTTATAAACTTTTATTATAAATTGAATGCAATTAATAACGTAATGTATGGATGAAAATGTCAACAATATTTAATGGCAGCGCAATGTTGTGGTGAATGCAAACGATTACACAATAATAGAAACATTTGTAGACGAATGCAGACGTGTTTTGGATGTAAACAAAGCGACGTTTGAATTGTTTATTTAGACAGCGATTTGCTGTGAGTCTGACTGACAGTCACTGACTGTAAGCAAAGTTCACTCATTTCTCTGCCATTGGATTGCATCTGAAGACAAATTTTGGACACAATTATCGCAATTGTCTTCAATCGCAAGCAATGAGCGAATCGATGGCCAATAGGTTTGCCGAAGCATTGAATGCTGTGATCGCCGACCCGTCCATTGGTCGCAACGATTTGCGGACAATCGTCGAGACATTGATCACAATCTACAAGAATTTGACCACAAATGCCGCTCCCATTCACCGGCGGCTCAACACTAATAACAAGACATTTGTGGCCAAAGTGTGGCGACACGAGTCCGCCCGACGACTTCTGGAGGCCGGCGGTTGGAACCGATCAGGTGATGATCACACGATCGCTTTTGACGATAAACATACCGCCGATGACGTGCGCCGGTGTCTGGAGCTGTTGGTCGAGCGCCGCGACATCAGACCCGACGCTAACGATTGGATCAATTGTGGCAAAGAGTTCACCGATCCTAAGGCCGAGAGAGACCGGGCGTTGAGAGAGGCGGCCGAACACCAGAGACTCAAAGACTTGGAAGAGTTCCAGAAGAATAAGGCGGAGACCAAACTGTTGGCGGAGAACACGAAGAAAGAGATTCAGTCCGATATCAGACACAGACATCGTATGGCCAAAGAGATGACTAACACGAGTGACACTTCACTCACCGATTCAGTCGACTCGTCGGACAAACCGTTGCAATAAATGCCAAAACCATTACACTATTAGTCATTCATTTGTGATTATAATCCGAGTATTGTTTTGTTAATTAAAATATAAATTTAATCGTATTTTTGATGTTTTGAAAACAAATTGTATTACAAATTGAACTCAATTAATAAACAACTTTATTATTATTGCAATTATATTCACAAATGAGATATAAAAATATATTTATATTGCAATGAATTGTGAAATAATAGTTGAAATTAACAAATTGAGTGCAAGTGTTGACCAAATGATCGTTTGTATTGCTACGGACTGTCCGTCGTCTGGATTGGCGTATAGTTAAGCATTTGGTCCCGAAGTGGCCAAACATGGGACTAATGTTGTCATCAGATTGGACACGAAGTATCATGATCATGATCAATTAGATATACAAACGTTTTATCAAATTGTAATAAATATAACTCATTAATTGTAAAACTAATTTGAAATCGAAATACTAATTGATTTATTTGTCGTGAAAAACATAATCAAAATTCAATAATTTGTAATCAATAACTATTCGGTAACTTTTCAAATGCAAACATTTATACGTTAATAACAATTACATCTCTCATAATGTTATAGGAATTTTGAATCACAATTATTACAGTAAATTAAAAATATCTATAATATAATAATATTAATTATATAATACGATATAATGAGTGAATATAAAAAATAGTGAACAAATTGCTTAACAATTAAACATTTCAAATGTGTTCTCAACTGATATTCATAGACAAAACAAACGTCGCGTTTGAAACTTATATTTCAATTAAAACTAATTATAAAGTTATATCAAAAAATACAAAATATAGTGGTTTTAAAAACCAAATGTTGTGATAATAAAAAACAATACAATTCAAGTGGTAGTGAATACGAGAGTCAATCGATGGTAATCTGAACGATATCTTTAGTTTTGTTCGCATTATTCGACTTAAATATATTAATTGTCGACAGATTTGAGGTCAGATTCGATGCGTTCATCGACTGATGGCTGGAATTAAATAACTGATGAGCGGATGAGCTGTTGGTCTGCGAATGGGTGAGCAGTTTAGTAGACTTAGAGCTTCTGAGATCATGGGTTGGGCGCGACTCTTGAATCACAACTGTGTCCACACTATCGTCCGAATGGTCGGGAAGTATGTACTCGTTATCGGCGGTCGCGACGATACGGACGCTCGCATCGGACACATCGGCAAAAGTGGAGTTACTATCGCCGGAAAAGGCCGTCAGTGCCGCCAACGCCGCCTCATTTGTAATGATTTTGGCGCACAGTTTGCTTCGTTTGGGTCCGGTATCGGCCGAACTCGTCTCTACGGGCCGTTTATTGAACACTTGCGGGAAACTCTTGACGCCAACGTTACGGATGAGTATATCTCTACCCGTCTTACGAATGCTTAACTTATTTGCCGTTAAATTATTAGCCGAAACTGTGGACACGGGAGGGGACGACAAGGGCTGCTGTTTTTGTTGCGCCGACGGAGTGCTGAGTCGTATAAATCTTGGCGACGTTGCCGTCAAACTGGTTGCCGGTGTTCTCGTATAAGTGTTTACGGGACTCGCGTTCAACGATACAGGGCTAGTGTTGACGGCGATCGGCTGAATGACCGTCGGTCCGGCCGATGTATTGGCACCGCTAGTGATCACCACTTGAGCCACTGGTTTGACTGGAAATTGAATTTTAATGGGAGTTAGTGTGGGATTAGCGTTAGTCGCGGCAACTGATGTGTTAGTAGTGGTCTGCACAGGCATTAACATATAAGTGGATTGATTTGAGTTCAGAGTAAAGTGAGTGACCACTGAAGGGGTAGAAGAAGAAATGGCGGCACAAGTGGACAGAGATGTAGAAGAATTGGATGGTTTGGGAGCTATAGTGACGGGTCGTCGCAACTGCGATACGAGTACAG